TGAAGGTCCGTCCTACGGATATCACCTCAATGCCCGGAAGTCTGTGCTTGTGGTCAAGCCACATGCCTACGACGACGCTGTGCGCCTCTTCGCTGATACTGGCATCCAAGTAACATCTGACGGCAACCGCTACCTGGGTTCCGCTATTGGCACGCCCGACTACATCCACGGGTTCATCCAGGAGAAGGCCAATGAATGGTGCAAGCAGATTGAGACACTCTCATCCTTCGCTCGTACCCAGCCCCAGGCAGCGTACACTACTTTTGTTCGTGCTCTCTCATGCCGCTGAACATTCTTGTGTCGTGTTCTACCGGATGCGTCAAGTGGTCTTGATCAGTTGGAACACGCCATTGTTACCAAGCTGCTGCCAGCCCTGACTGGAGAAGAAGTCAGTCTGGAGCTGCGTCGGCTGTTTGCCTTCCCTTGCCGGGATGGTGGCCTGGGCATCGTCAATCCAACATCTCTAACAACCCAATACGCCTCATCCCGCGCGATCACAGCGGCGCTCACCACCAACATCCTCGACCAAGACTTCAGTGTGACGGAAGCTCTTGCCAGCATTGCCTCAGCCAAAGCGTCACAGCGTGCAGATCACCGCCAGAAAGCGAAGACCGACATCCGTGGCTTCGCTGCCGACGCATCGCCCACTTTGCAGCACACAATTCAGTTGGCAAGTGAGCCTGGCGCCTCCAGCTGGCTTACTTGTCGTCCGCTATCCCGTCATGGATTTGTGCTATCCAAAAGCGAGTTCCGCGATGGTTTGGCACTGCGCTATGGCTGGCGGCCTTCTCGCTTACCGTCAACCTGTGTCTGTGGAGCCAGCTTCACAGTAGCCCATGCCCTGACATGCAGCACCGGAGGTTTCCCGTCACTTCGACACAATGAGGTGCGGGACATCACTGCCTCGCTATTGAAACGTGTCGCCAATAGTGTCGCTATCGAGCCACACTTACAACCGCTCTCTGGTGAGCAGCTCCGCTACAAGACTGCCTCCACAGAGGACCAGGCTCGACTTGATGTTGCGGCGAGTGGTGTTTGGGGAGGTCGGTTTGAGAGAGTCTTTCTCGATATTCGGGTTTTCAACCCCTTTGCTCCCTCAAATCGATCCTCTTCCATCACCGCTTGCTACCAGCGTCATGAACGTGAAAAACGGAGGCGATACGAACAGCGCGTCAAGGAGGTCGAGCGTGGAACCTTCATCCCTGTGGTTTTCGCTGCAACTGGTGGTACTGGTCGAGCTGCTGCCGCTCTCCTCAAGAGAATAGCTGCAATGGTCTCCGACAAATCTGGTGAGCCATACTCTGCAGTGATGGCATGGATCCGCTGCAGGTTCAGCTTCGCCCTTCTCCGTGCAGGCGTGGCTTGCCTGCGTGGTGCACGACGGCTGTATTCGCACCCGGAGGTGGCTGAGTCATCCGCTCGACTCGCTGTCTCGGAAGCTGCCATACAGCACTAGACACTTGTTTATGCTTCGTCATCATTGCTTTTTCTCGTATGGTCCATGTATGTAACTACTGGTACTTGTTTTTATTGTATCACTGTGTTACTTAATTCTGCCCGTACAAGAGGCCGGACCACACTCGTAAAAAAAAAAAAAAGTTATAAGGACACTTCGCGAATAAGGACACCTTTCTGATGCCCCGCCCATTGTCGTTATTCGCGAAGTTGACTGTAGCTCCCTTGGCTGCTGTTGGAATATGCAAGAATGGGCCTTCCAGATAAGGTCTAACAAGGAGCAGTGGCTATAGTTATGAAATGAACACCGGTAACCATGGAGACAGACCACACTCTCATTATAGATACTGGTTATAAATAGACCGAATAAGGAAAATGATCTGATAGCCTATGAAGAGTAAAAGAAATTGAACCAATGACAACAAATACTCGTCCAGCACACGAGTTGTCATAGCAACACAAATAACAGCTGTCCACTAATTTTGTTGTTGGAGATTGAGTAGGAATTTTTACTGGTTGATTCTAAATACAATAAATGAGTAGGCTGAGGGTTTATGACCAATAAAAACTATTATCAAAACCGAGGTCCCCCGAGGTTTTATAATTAGTTTTTATTGGTCATAAACCCTCAGCCTACTCATTTATTGTATACATAATGTCATGTACATAGCCCATGTTGTGGCTATCTGGCACGTGACATGGTCATGGGACGACTAGTTTAGTATTATTATTAGTAATGTTAGTAGTTGGCATGACTATGTCACAGTATGTGTCACTGCACCGGGCAGAGGCTAAGCTGGGCCATGGGGGATAATTATTTGACTAAAACTTTTAGTAAAAGTAATTACATGTAGTTGTCAAGTTACGCGACTACCAGACTACATGTACAGCCTAGCACTAGCAGTAAAACCTGACAAGGTGACCACTCAGCCCATACAAACTTGCTAACATCTGCCCTGTATTTAAGACAGGAGACCGAAGCGATCCAACCAAGTACCGACCCATCCGAGTCACTCCTGCCGATAGCCTCCAAGTACATAATTATAATGACCAGCTTTGCCAATTATATCAGGACCCCTCGTGCTACTCCACTCATTCCCAATGAGCAATTCGCGTACCGTCAATCCCACTCATGTGAAGACGCACTGGCTGTTTGCATTAACAGTTGGCAACATTCTCTAGACAATGGAAATGTTGTAGCGGTAGCGATGTTGGACCTCAGTAAAGCTTTTGACTGTGTTCAGCATGACAAACTTCTCCTGGAGCTCCATGCGTGTGGTATAGGTGGTAAAGCCCTGGCCTGGCTCTGCAGCTACCTGTCTAGTCGTCAACAGCAAGTTGTATGTCGCCGCAACCCCCGGGAGAACAGTATCCTGCCAACCGTGGTGTCCCTCAGGGTTCTGTACTTGGTCCGCTTCTGTTCACCCTGTACACACGCTCTCTTCCAACATGCTTGGCTTTCTCCACCAGCCAACTCTATGCCGATGATACAAATGTCTATGTTGCAGACAAGACTGCCGATGCAGCAATTGAAAAGCTTGAGAACGACTTGCACTCAGTCAGCGAGTTTCTGCACTCCAGGGAACTCAAATTAAATCCGGCAAAGACTCAGTTTCTTGTTCTGCTGAAGCCCACCGTGCAGGCATCCCGTCATTTGCGGTTCTGTGGCACTGTGGTCGAACAATCATCTTGTGCTAAGTATCTTGGCATCATTATTGATGAGCACTTGACATTCCGTCAGCAAGTTGATGCACTCCGAAAGAAGGTCAGTGCAAAAGTGAATGCATTTCGGCGCTGCCGCACCATGTTGACCAATGCAGCCAAACGCATATTCTATCTCCCTTTTGTCCAGTCTACACTGGAATATGCAAGCAATGCTTATGTACACAGTCTGCGACAACATGAATATGTTTCCCTCACCCGCATCTCTCGCCGTTCATTGCGTACTGTGTTTGGCTACCCACCCACCGCAGATGTCCAGTGTATTCTGTCTCGAAACAACCTCACACCCATCACTATCCGTTTCTCCCTTACTGCACTGTATCTTCTTGTATTCAGATGCGTTCATTCTTCTGCCAGCTCACTTCTGTGCCGCCTTTTCTGCCTTCGTGCCAATTCTGAGGCACGTAGCCGCACCTGCACAAGGTCTCAAGTCTCGCTTGGACTTGTACTGCCACGAGCCTCCTCTCGATTTGGTTATTCCTCTCTTTCTTATTTAGCCGCTGACCGCTGGAACTCAGTTCGAACGTTCCGGCATCGGTCCGCCTTGCTGCTTCGCCAAATCAATTTCGTATCGCAATCCTAGATTGGCTAGGGTACCCCGTAAGGAGGCCATAGGCCTGTGGGGACTGCCCTAGAGAAATATGAATAAATACTACAGTAAAACCTGTAACTAACGACCACCGTGACTAGCGACCAGCCTGGTACTACCGTAAAACCTGTAACTAACGACCACCGTGACTAGCGACCGGCCTGGTACTACCGACCACTTCGTCAGGCACGGACGGTCTCACATTCAAAATGCACTGTGACTAGCGACCGACTACCTGCTGAACGCGACCAGCGACCGCCTTTTCTTGATGTCGAATTTTGACCCGTAACTAGCGACCGCGATGTAGCAAATCAAACATTGCTCGAAGCTCTTTCTCGAAATTTTGATGATTTTCCATGGTCGTTTCGATACTACAGCTGGACAAATGAACGCAGTCTCATTTTTACTGTGGAATCAGTGTGGACTGCACTACACCTGTCATAATTTCAAGTGCTGTCAAGAACAAACAATCATGATAGGAAACGTCTTGGAGAGCGCATCCAAAGCGCTATTTGATCGATGTATACTACTACTACTACTCTGATGAGGCGACCATCTGTCCCAGACGACCACTGTAACTAGGACGAAAGGGGTGCGTTTCACCGGTCAAATAACCCTGGATAAGGAGACCACCTGGTAACAGAGACCACATTTTGAAAGTCCCTTGAGTGGTCGTCTTAGACAGGTTTCACTGTAGCTGTAGATCGATCGATCAATCGAGAGAGAGAGAAAGAAAGAGCATTCCTATAACCGTTTTAAAACTATGGTTTTTATTGTTAACTGGTTTGAGGGAAAGAGACAAACGGGAAAAGTTTTTATTATTATTATTATATATTTGAGGATTATGTACAGTCAGGGAGTCGTCAAATACCGGTATTTGACGACTCCCTGTGTACAGTGCTGCTCAACCAAATCCGGTCACGTGAGTCAAATGTGCACCTTGCACCGTTTTGCACCTCAGCGTCTGCATGCAGGTATAGGGCTAGGCAACGGCCGGCGGCGCGTACTTGAGAGTGACTCCACTGGATTTTATTGAGCAGCACTGTAGATGTGAGCAAGGAACACTCTTGGAACAGCTGCAGTACACAGCCATGGGCATGGTTAGAGCCGGGCAGAGACGCGTAGCGAACCGTGAAACGAGTGCATTGCACGAGCCACACGCTCGCTACTGCATCCCAAGTCGCGCACAACTGCCTGGACATTCCAATACACTGTACACAGTATACACACAGTATAGATAGTATGCGGGGTAACGATTTCAGTGTGCTCACAGCACTGGGCAGCCCATATCAACATCTTGCAAATAGCACCACTGCATCAAAGAGAGAACGGAGGGAAACGTAAGCAGCATGCGCTGGAAAGCCGAGCAAAGTACAACAAACGGAACAGCCGCGAAACACTTCAATGACGGCAGGCTGCTTCTTTACTCACTGGAAGTGCAATTGAGAAAAAAACCCACTCACCCGCAAAAGCAGAGAACAGGATGCAGCACTAAAGTGGGCAAACGAAAAAAAAGAGAAAAAAAAGAAGAAGAGAAAAACGCCATAGGTGTCTGCCAGCCTCGGCATTGCACGCTACTCACGTGTGCTGGTCGTAGGACAAAATATCATCCAGGAGAGGACGATAGATATAGACATGTAATGCACTGCCCAGCCACTTCTCACTTCTCAGCCAGCAAACAGAGCGGAAATATAGTAAAACTGCATGCTCCATAAAAAGTACGAAAATTTCATAAAAATATCGCTCTAATAAATCGTAAAAAATGTGCCGTTAAAATGTGCTCCCTAATTTTTGGTGAACACTCTTCATTTTAGAGATAGCAACCCGTGATCTTTACCCAGCAAACAAAACGAGAAAAGGAGACGGACAAAAAGAAAACAAAGCAGGAAGAGAAGAAGAAGTAGAAGTAGAAGAGAGAGAGAGAGAGAGAGAGAGAGAGAGAGAGAGAGAGAGAGAGAGAGAGAGAGAGAGAGAGAGAGAGAGAGAGAGAGAGAGAGAGAGAGAGAGAGAGAGAGAGAGAGAGAGAGAGAGAGAGAGAGAGAGATAGAGAGAGAGAGAGAGAGAGAGAGAGAGAGAGAGAGAGAGAGAGAGAGAGAGAGAGAGAGAGAGAGAGAGGCACAGAAAGGCAGAGAGACAGACAGAGAGGTAGGAGAAGGTAAGACAGGTGGCTTGAACTCTGACTAGAAGGCAACTGAGAGACTTGGCTCCTCATCACCATCATAACAAGCAAATAGTTCTAGAAGTAGCAAACAATGAACCAGACTGACAGAGTCCACAACAATGTACAACAGCTACACGTGTATGCAAACAGACATGAAACAAGGCACTCGCAAACACACACACACACACACATACACGCACGCACACACACACACACACACACACACACACACACACACACACACACACACACACACACACACACACACACACACACACACACACACACACACATACACACACAATGACAACACTTACACACACAAAGACAACACTTACACACACAAAGACAACACTTACACACACAGGCACACACGGTCACACACACACATACACACACACACACGGACCGTGCAACCGCCAACACGATTACGAGTCGTTGATGCTCAGTCTTTTCAGGTGTTGTGAGCTGAGGATAAATCGGTATATACCAGACGCAACGCCAGCACCGAGCAGAGGTCCAAGGAAATAGATCCACTGGTCGGACCAGTAGATGGAGTAGTAATTCTTGCCCTGTGCGTTAGGGTAGTCTAGTGGAAGATAACAAAAAGAAGAAGGGAAAATGTGTGTGTGCGAGGGTGCATGCAGATTTATCCATGCACAGTGTCACTCACACACATTTCGGTGCGAAGAAACACACATGGGCACAAATGCACCCATGCACATGGAGAACATCACACACACACATACACACACACACACACACACACACACACACACACACACACACACACACACACACACACACACACACACACACACACACACACACATACACCAAACACACACACACACACACACACACACACACACACACACACACTCTCTCTCTCTCTCTCTCTCTCTCTCTCTCTCTCTCTCTCTCTCTCTCTCTCTCTCTCTCTCTCTCTCTCTCTCTCTCTCTCTCTCTCTCTCTCTCTCTCTCTCTCTCTCTCTCTCTCTCTCTCTCTCTCTGGAATGCTTCAGGATGGGTGCAGACTATCCAGCCACTCGTCTGTGTCGCCATGCAAAGCATGCTGTCACGACAAATTCTACATTGACCGCATAATTCACATGCAGTGCAGTATGGTTGAACTACTACACTCATTCACACACACCCCTCTCCTACATACACACACGTACACACACCCCTCTCCTACATACACACACGTACACACACCCCTCTCCTACATACACACACGTACACACACCCCTCTCCTACATACACACACGTACACACACCCCTCTCCTACATACACACACGTACACACACCCCTCTCCTACATACACACACGTCACTACACACCCCGCGACACACAGATGCCTACACATATCCCCCCCCAAGACACACGCACATAATGTGCAAGAATCACGAGTTACTCTAAGCAATCCGCAAGGAAGGTACAAAGGCATTTGAAAACAGCCTGGCAGGGCCATCTGCAGCAGAGGCAACTCACCACCAAGGCCGTGGAGGCTGATAACAGCTGGTCCAAAACTGCGCGCTGGATTCATGGATCCACCGGTCAACGTGCCACTGTGATTCACATACAAACACGCACGCGCGCACGCATGCACACACACACACACACACACACACACACACACACACACACACACACACACACACACACACACACACACACACACACACACACACACACACACACACATACACACAGTTCGGCAGGAAAAATTCGTTTGCTTCATTGCTGTGTGATCTTTGTGTTGCACACACATACACAAGTAGAACAATTAGAGTGACTGTGTTAGTCATGCAGTGTATGTGCACGTGTATGGCTGTGCTCATTCTGGCTTGATCAGTGGCAACTACTAATCAGCGTACAGAGCGATGCCAGACTGAATTGGTATTCCCGATCCTACCTTGGCAAGTTGCCATAATAGTATGATAATACCAATAGGATTCCCAGTGCTACCTTGCAGCAATGCAAATGAGATTCCCAATCCTGCCTGGCCACAATGCCAATAGCCATAGCTAGTCCTTCCTTGCTAAAACACCTACGCCATTGAGTCCACCGCATCTCACCAGCGCCTACACGACCATTGGTGTTTTTGTTTTGTCTTCGTTCTGTTTCCCCTTCTTCCATAGGTATGTGGAAAGTGATAAAAATAAACTAGAGAGCTTGGAAGCCCAGAGCCCTACGCTGTGCTTTTTTGCCTAGCAGAGAGTCAACTTTCTCTTTGCATTCGAGGGTAATACGACACCGTCTACCACCTTGATGACCTAGGCAAAAAAAAGCATAGGGATGTTATGAATTTTTCATTTCTCCTATTTTTTTAAGACATAACCTAGGATTCGAACCCGCACTATCGCCCTGCATGCATTCTCCGACACACTTCGCTACATACTCATTCTTCCAAGTTGCTTCACGTTATGATTTTGCATTCGAAAGCCCTATTTGAATATTGTGGCCAGCTGCCCTTTGATGGTACGGTACGGGACAGGTACGGGGATAGCGCAGGCATGCCGATGGCACAAACAAACAAACAAACAAACACGGAAATTAAAGCTATGTGGACCTTGGCTAGCGCCAGACGTTACTGAAGTAACGTCTTTTGCATAGCTACGGGAATAAAAAATCCTAATCCTACCTTGCCATAATGCCAGTAGCTACAGCAAGCCAATGCACAGCGGGGCGATGCTCTTGAATCCTTTGCGGTCGACTGCGTTAGCCAGAACAGTGGAGACTACCATGAAGGTTGTGAACATCTCGATACCAAACGCCTGGCCGTTGCTGTAGAGTGGGTTGGGGTGGTGACTACCGTACTTCACTTCCTCCAGTCGACATTCAGCCCCTGCATGACACAGACAGTCAACGTGGGAACAGGCATGTCAGATTAGCACTGTGAGTAATGGTAATGGTGTGTGTGGGTAGGTATGTGTGTGTGTGGAGGGGGGGGGGGGTAGGTACGTGTGTGTTTTGGGGGGGGGGGGCAGGTGGGGGGAGTTGGGTGGTGGCCTACATCACCTCCGACAAGTGGTCCTTCAACCCCCCCCCCCCCCCCCCCCCCATGCCACAGACAATCAAGGTGAGAGTAGGCATGTCAGATTAGTATACCGTAAAGTCGCGGATAAAAGCCGGGCTTATAAGCATTTAGAATCAACTCGTAAAAACTCCAAGTCAATCTCCCATTGACACAAACCTCATTTATTCAACATAATCATATCTTCATAATCATATCCTATCCAATAAAAACAGTTCATAAAAACAGCTTTTTAGGATCGGACCCAGTCCGCATAAGGGCCGGGTTCCACTGCGGCTCCGCGGCTCCGCTGCTCCGCGGCACTTGGCTGCATGCAGCGGAGCAGCGCGGTTCCACTGTCACTCGCCATTCGCGGTACCGCGGTCGTGGTCGACACTTTTTGATGACGTTTCACCTGCCTGCGCGCGCGAAATCAAACAAATCCTCGTGTTCTGGCCTGCGCAGCGAATTAAAATTTGAATTTTAAAATTCTGGCGTACAAAACAATGCAAAGTACGGGAAACAGGTCGAGCCGCGACCGCGGCTCGCAGTTTTTGGTCAAGAATCGTAGCAAAAGCTCGCGGTGGGCCGCGGACTCGCTGCTCCAGCTCGAGCCGCGGTCACTATGGTAATGATGACGTTTCAAGCCGCGAAAGACGAGCAGCGGGGCAGCGGAGCCGCAGTGGAACCCGGCCCTAACCAAGAGAGCTAGCTCCCTTGGCTGCTGTTGGAATATGCAAGAATGGGCCTTCCAGATAAGGTCTATCAAGGAGAAGTGGCTATAGTTATGAAATGAACACCGGTAACCATGGATACATACCACACTCTCATTATAGATACTGGTTATAAATAGACCGAATGAGGAAAATGATCTGATAGCCTATGAAGAGTAAAAGAAATTGAACCAATGACAACAAATACTCGTCCAGCACACGAGTTGTCATAGCAACACAACTAACAGCTGTCCACTAATTTTGTTGTTGGAGATTGAGTTGGAGTTTTACTGGTTGATTCTAAATACAATAAATGAGGAGGCCGAGGGTTTATGACCAA